TAGATAGATAGATAGATAGATAGATAGATAGATAGACAGACAGCTTAAATCAAGCACCAAATATGTCAAATTTGTATGCGTCTGATGCAGCATCTGCTCAATTCAAAGCCACTTCTTCCTTCTAATTTAAGCTGCAATAGGCTCCTGCTTTATCCCTTTCTATATATCTGTGTTAGATACTCTGTCCTGCATCTCAATCCAGGATCTGTTGGTGACATCTCTATATAAAGGTCTGAATCTTGCTCTTACGTAAATAAACCCCACTGATTATGAAATCTGTCCTAAAAAATATCCATAAATGAATTATCTTAAATCAGCTACGTTGAAATAATTTGTCAATTACTTGCCAAAACAGATTTAGATTTGAAAAATGTAAAACTAATGTTGTTTTAAATTTCTTTTTGTTTTAGTTGTTGGTAAGCACTTTAAAAAATCAATGGCCTCAACACCGATAAGGGAAAAGCCACACATCACAATTGGCATCATAGTTGATGTTCAGTATGCAGATTGTGATGATGGTAAAGACTTTTCTAAAACAAGAGAGCGCTTCAACCGAAATTCTTTAAACCTGCTAGAAACGTTTGGATGACCCGGTTGCTTTTGTTCTGCAGCTTGGGGATCTCATTGATGGGAAGAACAACGTTGGGGGTGATACCAACAGTAAACGGGCTCTCAGTACAGCTCTGCATCCCTTAAATTCCCTCCATATACCTATCTACCACGTCATTGGAAATCACGAACTCTACAATTTGAACCGTTCTTTTTATCTGACATCAAGCCTCAACAGTTCACTCAGTATAGAGACAGCCACAAATCATCTTTACTACACATTTTAGCCTTATCCAAAACTGAGAATTGTTGCCCTTGACATGTACGAGGTGGGTCTTTTAGGATATAAGGATAGCCTAGAGGACGAAAATTACAAAACAGCACAGATGTGGATGCGAGATAGAAACAAGAACGAGGATATCAACAGTGTTGAGGGCTTGAGCGGGCTGGAGAAGAGGTGGGCGGCGTACAATGGCGGCATCAGTGAGAAGCAGCTGCAATGGCTCTCTCAAGTGTTGCAGCAAGCTCAGTCAAAGGAAGAAAATGTCATAATTATATCTACAAACATATTTCATCAATTAAAGTATATTGTATAAATGTATTTTGAGTTGCTAAAAAATTAGTTTTGCAATGCTGAATAGCATTTTAAAAATGTCTAAAAATGAGATTATTAAATAATGTTATTAATTCATGATTAGATTACATCAATGTCCAGCCGGACATAACTGTATACAGAGGCGTAGCGAGGGGGGGGGGGGGGCGGGGGGGGACATATGTCCCCGGGCGCCGACCTTAGGGGGGGCGCCAAATTGAAAGTTTGAGGGGGGTGCAAATGAAAAGTTCGAGAGGGGGGGTGCAAATCGAAAGTTTGAGGGGATGGGGGGGGGCAAATGAAAAGTTCGAGGGGGGTGCAAATTGAAAATTTGCTCCCGAGGGGGGCGCCAAATTGAAAGTATGTCCCCGGGCGCCGGGAAGGGTCGCTACGCCTCTGACTGTATACAAGTTATTCAATAACTGTCACAAAAGTAGGCGCGAGGCTTTTTTTCACCAAGGCCGTTAAAAAACAACAACAACGTAATAACAGCATTTAAAAAAGCAATTGAGTAGTAAAGACATAGCAGTACCATAGTACTCAAAAATTAAAAAAAAAAAAAATTACATAGTTATAATACAAAATGAGATAAATAGGAATACAGAATAGACAACAACCAGTAGCATCACACGGCGTCATATTGTCTGATCTACTTTTAAAAAAAAAGTAAAGACTCTTCTTTAAACCATTGGGCAGATGAAGTAGAGTTCTTACGTTTCTATGACCAGCCGCCATTACTTTCCCCAACGTAAGTCTGGTACCCATCAGAGCTGGGTGTGCTCAGGGACGTCCTACAGTCGCAAGATCAAACCGAGATCTGAATTCGAGACCAGTGTTTCTTCCTGACTTTTTTTTTCTCAGGGGATGGGGGGGGGGGGGGAACTTGATATTTTCGGTAGACTGTCTCCGGAGCCCCCCCCCCCCCCCCCCCCCTTCTCGTAGAGATGCCTGGAAAAAACTGTTCGAGAACTTTGGAATAGTGGCCAAATGATCTATCATTATACCACGCCTGGTGTACTTTGACTTATTTGACGGGGATCGGGGGTACTTGTATTGGATGTTTTTTTTTTTGGGGGGGGGGGGGATTTCCGATTTGATGAGGTACCACTTGTGTATGTGGTCGTTTTGATTACCTTTTACAGAGAGTAAGAGAGGAGGTTGTGCTTTGTTTTTTTTTTAGCCAGTTACAAAGGCGAGTGAGTAGAATTAAAACACCTATAGGACAGAACTACTACAGCATATGGTGTGGACATCAACGCTGAGACGGAGGTCATGTCCAACAACCCGAATTGTAAAATAGCATTGTTGTGAACACACTGACACGCCTTTACGGGTTATCAAGTGCGTCGCGCAACATATAAGACAAACATTCACCAAATAGTTACGAGAACACAAGACTAAATAAAATAAAAGCTCGTTGCAACACTAAATTAAAGTTAATAACTCTCTGCACACATATAAACACAGTCTATTCTTATTGAATAACACAAGAGTCCACACATCTAAGATACAGTGGCCACAGGACTAAAGTAAAGTAGTAAGTAAAGTTCCCTTTCGAACCTGGCAATTCATGGGGCAAGTAGTGTTCATCCGTTTCAATGACCTCGGCATATAAAGGGATAGTGTGATCAACATTATGCCCAGCCGTCTTTACTTCCCTAACATCAGAGCTGGGTGGACTGACGCAGAGGTGCAGCGACCCTTCCCGACGCCCGGGGACAAATTTTAATTTGGCGCCCCCCCCCCCTCCCCCTATTTTTTTTTATATTTATAATGCAAAACTGCAGCTAAATTGAGCTTTAATTTTTTTTCAACCCATTTTTGGCGCCCTCTAGGCTCGGCGCCCGGGGCCATATGTACCCCCCTCCCCTTACTACGCCTCTGGATTGAGAGACCTTCTACTGATTTGTACCCGGGTTCGAACGCGAGACTTTCGGGATATCATTAAACTACGCCATCCCATACAGTACATTAACCTGGTAGATGTGACACGCTGGACTGAGGCATTCAACCACGCCGCCACACACCTGTTCGTAGTTTTATACCCGTACACAAGTACAAGCGGGCCGATCAGGTAATTACACAACTCACAACACGAGTAAACATGGCCAAACGGGACAGGGTACGGTGTACATTCATCCCTTTCCTTCCCTCACATATTCCCTCCAGGCATGGAGTACCTTGGAGTCATTTTGCCTGACAAGGGAATGAACCAAAAAGTACTAGATCTAGTTTTCCTTTGGTGCCGAGGTCAAGAACACAAGGGGCCGAAAGCTCTTTTCACTTTTGCCGGTATCTGGAAAATTTCTTGGCAATTCACCAAGATAGTCCTGCTCTAGTTAGTTGTTTTTCTACTGAGCCTCTCCGTGCAGTAGACTTCTGCGGATTTTATTCCCACGTTTTCTTTAACTTGCTTTCGCGTCTGTTTGTTTTTCCATCAAATCTTGCGATTAAAATTTCGAGCACTTCCCAGTTAGCTAGCGCACGTTTGCGATCGCTTATAGTAGAGTGATCGTTTGCATTATTGTGATGTATAGCATTTATTTTCTACTTTTTAGTTCAATCAGAAAACGTGGGTTTTTAAAACTTTTTAATGATTATTATACGCAGATCGAAATAATAATAATAATAACTCAGATGGCATAGACATGTTATAGACATACGACATGATCCAATGACATATTAAAGACTATGATGTAGGACCTTATGTTAGTGCATAATAGACTATTAAATAGTGAGAGTTAATTACTTTAAAGAATAATAATGTAATGTATTAATTTAGGTCTGCTCTTGTTGAGTAGCCTAATATAGGTTACTAGTAAAGACAAATTTGGAGCAAAAAAAAAAACATTCTGAAGGCTGGGACCACATCATTCACTGTTTATGCTTACAGCTGAGCAACGGGTCTGCAATAAAAAAAAAATGCCGGTATAAAGTGAGATTGTACACGGAGATGCTGTTAGAAGAGTTAGCCTGTCGGTGAAGAAATCATAGGTTTCCTTTAATACCCAGTGTAGAATTACATAGATTTTTAACAAATCCTAACTACGGGGGGGTTAAACCTACAGGATGTTCACCAACCTGAGAACTAGTCTAACAAGAAGTTCGCACATCATCGCCGTGTACAACTCACTTTATTGCCTTAAACCTAATTTACAACAACAATAGGTACACAGCTTTCTGTGTTTAGCTATTTTGTGGTAAATTAGGTTAAGGCAATTAGGCTAAGGGAGTTGTGGGATGTGAAACTATATCATTTTTTATTTTATTGGACTTTGCGTACCTCCAGGAGTCGTAGTATTCAAATTTGTTCTAATCTAATCAAATATATTCTAATTTGTTTTAATCCAATTTAATTTTATTGGTTCTTGTTTGATAACTAAGTCTACAGGATTAATTCAGATTCTAGACTATAGAACTAGACTAGAACTAATCTAGATTGAAGTAGATCCCTAGTTCAGAATATATCTAGATCTAGATCTAGACTATAATCTAAATAAGGTGGGTGGGCTACTTTGTAGTCACAATTTTAATTTTTCAAGGAAACGAAACAAAGTAGGCCTGGTTTCTCGGAGGGCTGCGTTTCTTTTAAATAAAAAGACTCGAAATATCGTAATAGTATAGTTAGTAAAGATATATAGATCTAGCCTTTAGGTTAAGATTTTTTTTATTATATTTTTTTTTAAATGCATTTATAATACTTTATTTAGATCTAGTCTAGTAGCCTATTTGGGTTCAGTATATTTGACCAGCCCTTGGCCTTATCTTCTAGGCCTAATCACAGCGATCACAGCTAAAAATAAACTTGACATGCGCAGACCGGTTGCGACCCCATGTAGGTCTAGTCACGTGAACAAAAATAAAGGCTCGACATTTTTGAGCTGATGCCATTTCCGTTTCTCAGATTTCCGGTAAAAATAACCGCTGTTTACATATAATATTTGTGCTTTTATGTAAAAAGTGAAGGTAATATTCTATTGTAATGCATATGTTTTATTTATTTTTTACAGTTTAAGTTATATTTGTGACTTAAAATGTGAAATGTATTAGTCTAAAATGTGTTAAAGCCGTTGCATCTCTCCCTCTCCAATAACAGGATGTTGAACGTGGGGAGTTTGGGCCGGAAGTATTCTTCATAAACATCCGTTTTGTTTGAGCATTTCCTCTTCCTTTCTTAATATTTTCTAATTTGAAAAAAGACTCTTTTTCACTTCAGATCATTCGTAGTTTCATAGTTTAATACCAAAATGTCGAAATCAGTCTCGACCTTATACTCCACAACTCCGCCATTTTGTGTGGTGAGTTGGCCTACTTTTGTTACCCTAGCGCCTATCGGTCAGGGCCGCCACATTTTAATTTAAACCTGTTTGCCAGTTCTTTTTTTTATTTCGTTAATTGTTGAATGTTGATATACTGCACTTTGAAATCTAGGCCTAAACTTATTATTTCATTGTGTAAATTTGTGTCTATTCAATTTATTAATGTCAAATCCTGACAAATATGGTGGCTGGCTGCACGTTGGCGGCCATGTGCAGCCAATTTGATTACTACACACACAGACTACACACTGGCAACACAGCACACCACACGGACTTCAATGAAAATGGATTTCTAATTTTGATCCCAACCTAACGTCTTGGTGCCTGGGTATCAGTCCGTATGTGCTCTATATTACTATAAGATCTGGATCTAAATCTAGATCTAGTATTGACTGACATACTAGATCCAGAAACTATTTAGCCTAGATATTTTTAGATTAGGATTTTAGTAGAGTACTGGCTGGTATTGGTATCACTTCAAGAATCTTAGAATGACATGAGACACCTGTAGTTTTTGTTTGTTGTGTAGAATAAGACCGACAGATTCTAGAGCTGAGTTTAATAGTAAATTAATAGTAATGATCTTGATTCTAATCTAAAAACAATCTAGATCTAGAAATCTCTAGGCCTAAAAGCCTAAAATTATTAGGCCTATTTTATTAGAACTTTTATTTCGGCCTATTTATTATCTAGATCTAGTTGGCATACTCAGTTTTTTTATAACAATTTGAATTGATTTTTAGACTCTTAAATAGAGATGTCATTCACACTCAAAAAACTAAATCTAGATCTAGACTACCCCTTCTTAATAAATAAAAAAATGGATGATTATAGATACCAGTGTCCGATAATGGAATCTTCTTAAAAAAAGGGGTGTTGGGTTGTTAGTAGTATTGTAATCTCGACTAATTTTATGGTTAGAAATTAGGGTTAGGCGTATGTTTGGACCAGGGTTAGGGTTAGGGACAGGGTTAGCATTGACATTAGCCAGCCATGTGTGTATTTAGTTAACTACCAGTAACCTAACACCCCTTTTTTGAAGAAGATTCCATTATCAGACACCGGTGTAAACATTCTCCCGACAGCCATTTGTGTATTTTATGTAACTACCAGTAACCTGAAGCCCCTTTTTAAAGAAGATCGTCGTACACTGGTATAAAAATTCCCCCCAAAAGTTTGCTAAGTGTAGACAGAATTTTATCCAATGCTTTGCTAGAGCATATTGTCCCGTATAATGATGATGCATAAAAAGTAAAAAGAAACACTAAATTATAGATTTCAAAACAAATAAATAGGCCAATGAATTTTTATGTAGCATATTTGAAATTTATGTTGGTAGATTAGAAATAAAAATTTTAGTAAGGCCTAAATCAGTTAGAAAATGGTTGCCAGTAAATAGAGATTTACTAGTAACTGTAAAGTGCAAATACATAAAAGAGAGCGGTTGATTAAATTTGCATAAAGTACAAGTATAAATCAAATCATGATTTAATAACATAAAAGTCTGATTAAATTGTGTAAGAGCTAATATTTACGTCCCCTATAATCACCCCTAAGACCACAGTCATGAATATTCATAACTCATAAAATTAGACCTATAATTAATTAGTCCTAATTATCAATTTTGACAACATTCATAACCTGTAAGATTATGTCACATGATTTTCAAACCAACATTGTTTTATCCACTTATGACCTGAGAAATCAAATAATGTCACATTTTAACAGTAATCCCTCCCCTTTGTCAGAAGTTAAAAAAAAACATCAGTCTTCTGAAGTATAGGTCTAGTCTATTTCTAATTTAAGGGGTACAAGTATATGCCTATTATGGATTTACTTAGTAGTTTTGAAAAATGAGATAGTTGTCCAGAATTTTATAAACAGAAACAAAAATTCATTCTATTAGTTCACTGGCTCCATCCAGAAAAATGTACTTAATTTGAGATAAAGCGCTGAGCTTGGAGGTCTAAATAATCTCTACTCTTGCTTGCACTAACGATATAGGATCTCTCCACAATAGTAGGCATCTTAATTAAGTACATGTCTTATATCCATCTTTTTGATTTTATATTATTGGTTAAATACAAATCTTAATATATCTCAGTTTATTTATTTAAGATGTTTGACACTTGTAAAAACACAGTCAGTTCACATACAATTTTTCTATTATCACTACCATAACTCTAGTCTTGAACCCAAACCCTTTAAGCAATATTACTTGTTACAGACATGCATACCGTCCCGCCAAAAGCGGAGTTGTTCTGCTTTTAAAAAAAAATCATGTCCTGTTCCACCGTCCTGTTTTCGTCGAAGTTCGCCCCGTTTTTTTTCCCACGTTTTCTTTAACTTGCTTTCGCGTCTGTTTGTTTGGTTCTCCAATCAAATCTTGCGATCGAAATTTCGGACACTTCCCAGTTAGCTAGTGCGCTGAAATTTTCAGGGAAGCTTTGTTTCCGATGACCATAGAATATTCAGTTGTTATTATTACTAAATTGATCCATGGAAACATTTTATTGATCATTTTAGACCGCTATATAATTGTACAAAAACTAGGGAAAAGGGGACATAACCCAGTAACTGTAATTTGATGAAAACAAGGTTCGGTACTCTCCCTCTTTTTGCTTACTGAGTAGTTGTCATGCGGTGTTTGTGTACAAACAACCAGAACGTAACAACTGGTGGCCAGTATGGGGGAGACGATATGGTCGAGTGGTTGGGCACAAGATTGCTATCCCACTCGGCGCGGGTTCAAATGTATGTGTTCTAGTCAGTAACGTATTCACACAACGTGTTTTTTACGAGTTGTCTTCGTTTACCCAAAACAAAAGTGAATGCGAGAAGATAAAATCGATAGCAAGATTTGAATGCAAACAAACAGACAAAGACTAAAAAGTAGAAAATAATTATCAATAAAAAAGTTTTTAAAAACCCACGTTTTCTGATTGAACTATAAAGTAGAAAATAAATGCTATACATCACAATAATGCAAGCGATCACTCTACTATAAGCGATGAAAAACGTGGGGCGCCGTGATTTTCTTACAGTTTCTAATACTGTTGACTCTCTACAAGCTCCCTAATAAAAGTCAATAGTATTATCTAGTCAATAGTAATATAACTTTTACTTCGGCGCCCCACGTTTTTCATCGCTAGGTCTTAGCTCTTAACTTATATTTTATATTACATATGAAGCCTTCAGCCTTTGTTGTTCATATAGCCTAGAACACAGCAAGGCAGGAATAAACAAATCAATAATGTCAAAGCTATGGTTTTTATGGGGGGGTGTCTCAAGTTATTGGTTGTCTTTTTAAAAAAAATGTAAGCTGACATTGAGCAGTGTTTAAATGTAGCCTAGAGACTAGTTATATATAACTAAAAGCCTACTAATGTCATTAGACTACTTTTTAATTAATTATTTTTATTTTTGACTTAGTAAAGTAGCGTCCGCGCATATGTTCCTCTTTTTGGCTTCAAATGCCTCTTTTTAGGCATGATTGTTCCTACTTTTGGCTGACAGGGGTGGGCATTTCTGTTATGATATTACAGTACATCTGTTTTTCTAGTTAGCTTTCGACTTTTGGTTTTTGGAATACCTTTTAAACCATTTTCTGTTGTAGCAAACATGTTTTTAATACTGTAAATAATTTTGCATTCCTACAAATATTAATGTAGGCCAAAAGTCAATATTTTTCTTTTTATTCTTAAAGACTGCACAAAATGAAGCGGGCAGCATCACCAGGTTTAATGGAGGTGGTGGCGGAAGCTGTAGATCCATCAGAGACAGAAGTAATCACAGAAATTGTCACAGAGATACCTGTTCAGGATATCAAACGCCAGAGAACAGAAGAAGAAGTTTGCCTTGATGATGGGTGAGTGATATTTTTAAAATTTAGTCCTGCTTTATCCCTTATACTACTAAGCTTTATATAGAACCTAATGTAAACCATGAAAATAGGTAACTTGGATTATCCAAGGACTTTTCAAACAACTTAAACCATCCGACATTTCTTCTTTATTTATAATAAAATTTTATCTAGTTATAATATTAGTTTCCTGTTAGTTGGTATTTATGATAAAATCTTTCCTGTGTTTTTTAGGATTATTAGTTTCCTGTTTGTTGGTATTTATAATAAAATCTTTCCTGTGTTTTTTAGGATTATTAGTTTCCTGTTTGTTGGTATTTATAATAAAATCTTTCCTGTGTTTTTTTAGGATTGTGTACGAGGAAGAAATAATTCAGCACCAGCAACCACCACCACAGTATCAGAATTTGATCATCCAGCATATGGATATTGCTGAACCACTCTCCACCCTCAAAAGGTTGCTAGAGATCAGGTTGCAATGCTCTTTAGCAGATCATCAGTTTTACTTACAGGACTCTATAGAGGTGAGCATTTGTTATATAATGTTTAATAAAGAATTTGAAATTTTCAATTGTTAATTAAATATTACTCACATTCTGGTTTTCATATATGGCAAAAGAAGAAATGTGTAAAATGGTTCAAAACCATGGCCTGGATAATAATTTTTTTTTTTTTTTTTTATTTGTTCTAGCTGAATTTTTTTATTATAAATATTTAGCAAATGTTATACAAGTTGTACCGTATTAGTCTTACTAAATTTACTTATGTACTGTATCAATTTTATTTGTTTATTTCAGCTTGACAGTAACAAAAGTCTTGTAGATCAATGTGTGCAAGGGGAGGGAATGGTACAGATAAATTTAGAAGTCAAATCTCAGCCAGGTGTTAAGCCCAAGATTAACATCCTGGATATTTTAAAAACAGCAGAGGACGAGGTGGAAGAAAAATATGGTACCTTCTTTTAATTCAGACATAAAAATGAAATTTTTTTAAAAGTAAATAGTGTTGACATTTATTTTGATATCCCTGAAATTTTCAAACTTTTTCTTTAATCATTTAGTCATTAAAACAGAATCATCTTAATTTGTCTTTTCTTGCCAACAATGAGATTTTAAAAATAAATTCACATTGGTTAGAATTTTCGAGTTTGCTGACTAAATATTTTGTGTTTAGCACAACAAACTTTACATTTTTTTTTAAAAATCAAATTATTATCCAAGGTATCCTTTTCAGAGAAAATATTTGAGTCCATTTTTTTAAACAGTTAATTTAATCTCAGTATGATTTCTAAACACAATATGCTAGTAAGTTATAGTCCTTTATGTGATAGACCTCATTCTTTGTTGAATTGATAAGTTGGGGTCTTGAACTACATAAACAATGCCTATTCAAAATATTTTTTAAACCCTTCTTGAATATTCATAGAATTCAAAGACAAGGATAATAATTCTACTTTTAGTGTTATATATTTTCAAATACTTAATTTCTTAAATCACATTATATATTTCTCAATATATAATAACTCAAGTATTTTAAAAAATTTCAATCAAAAGTTTAATTTTACTTTAAAAGAAATCAGCTTAAAATGTTTTAAATTTATATATTTAAATTAAAATTGTATACAGTTGTTTTTAATTTACCTTTTTCCAGTGGCAGAGCAAGCCATGCAGTCCAGCCAATCCCAGAATGCAAAAGTTGTTATACCATTGCCAGAAGAGTCTGAGAATGTTACCAGGTGGATTGTAGATCAGAGCTTCAGAAGGGACCAGGAACGCTTAAAAATACCATTTGGTAAAATATTTTCTTGCACCTCATTCACCAAGGTACAAATATAGTATCTTTTAGTGTTAAAGTTAACAATTCTAATGATTTGTCTACAACATTGAAACATGCATGCTTATTAATATTTTGATTTGATAAGTAATATTGATGATTTACATTTAAAAATCACAATTTTCAATTACACCCAATAACTTACATTAATTTTCAAATAATTAAAGGATTTGCATAAATAATGTACACATTTTTTACTGAGTTGGGCAGAAATTATTAGATTTCTTTATATTTTAATTGTAATAATTTGCTGAGAATAGTTTCTTTAATTTTTCAGTTTTAATTCAGGTTTTTTTTAAGTAGGCCTAATTGTCAAGAGAAGTGACAGCCTATTATATTACAATAAGAATTTAATCTTCGTTACAGCCTTATTTGCAATAATTTGAAGTATATAGATTTTATGGGATGGCATGATAGAATGGTAGAGCTTACATCTGTAAACCCTAATGTCTCGAGTTCGGATACCGGGTTCAAGTATCTAGGATGTTTTTGAGTACATCCAGCTATGGATGTCCTGGGCATGAAAGGGATAAGATGATATATACATATGTAAACAATGGCTGTTAGTTTATGCAGCTTGTTACAGTATTTCGTTTGTTATTCCCAGATCTTGGTTAATGCTGTGTTCTAATTTGTCGTCCCCATGTTATAAACATGTGCACTCTTTCTGTGAATTGGCGTAACTAAAGGTTGAATGAATGTTTTTCTCCTTACAGATCCTGCTGAGTGGAGTGAATTACATGTCAAGCATTGGATCCAGTGGGCAGTGAAAGAGTTTCGCCTACAGAATGTCATCATTGATGAGTTCAACTTCAATGGGAAACAGCTGTGTGCCATGTCCCACCCAGAGTTTGTTCAACACATCCCAAATGACCCTGGGGACATCTTCTGGACACATTTAGAACTTCTTAGAAAATGTAAATTTGTTGGTGAGTACCAGTTTCCATTATACATGTTATTTTAGTTATAAATAGTTCTCCTTATTGATAAACTTTTTTTTTTGTAAATTTTAATTCATTTAGTTAAGGGTAAAACAAGGGACTGTTGCAAATGCCTCTTATAATTTCTAATATATTTTCTCAATGCAAGAATTAATCTTGGGGAAAAATAATGTGGTGTATCATTATTGTGACAGGGTTCTAAGGCGGTGTTTACATTCCTCTCTAGCCATGTAGCTGAGCTTGCTCTTTTTTGTATTGGCTTTGTTTTTTTTTCTTTTTTGTATTAGCACTTTGTTTCTATGTAATGCTCTTTGTGTTTCAGCTGTGATGCAGCAGCCCACACCTCATGCAATAACCACCATTACAGTGTCCACATCAGATGCAGAAAGCAAATATGGTATGGGACTTTGTTATATGTATCTTCTTCATACAAATGTTTTTAAAACTTGCCACCTTGTCTCATTTTATTGTAGTTATTTGGAATGTATTTAAGACTCATTAATCTCAACACTTTTTTCAACTGTGTTGTGGTATAATTTATGATTTATTGAAGGAAAGTTTGCAGTTAGCCTTCCTGCAGTTTTTATGTTTAATTTACCTTTGTTTAAGGTCGTGTAAGATCAGTTGGCAAACACAGGCCACGGTCGCCTAGAATAACAGGAGAAGAAAGGATGTCGCCAGGGAACAGGACAGGTAAGTAAATACAATCTAAGGTTTAGATATTATTTATAAATAAAGTTACTGCCCATATTACAAATAAATAATGATTTAATAATTAGTGAAAAGTAAATTGTCTAAATGAGTTGCTTTGATGAGTTGGATGTTCCAGGCAATAACGGCCAGATCCAGCTGTGGCAGTTTCTCTTGGAGCTGCTGACCGACAAGTTGTGTCGAGAGGTCATCGCCTGGGTCGGTGACGAGGGGGAGTTCAAGCTGGTCAACCCGGAGGTCGTGGCTCAGATGTGGGGGCAGCGCAAAAACAAACCGACCATGAATTATGAAAAATTGTCCAGGGCGCTCAGATACTACTACGACGGGGATATGATCGCAAAGGTACGTAATGTAAGTCCATTCTATTTTCCATTCTTCCTTGGCTATCCTGTTCTGAGTTTGTTCATCGCAAGTAGTTATGACTTTTTTTTTTCATGTTAATCATCTTGGGCTGTAATGTATTGTATGTGTTGATGGTCGTGCCACAGGTTCACGGGAAAAGGTTTGTCTACAAGTTTGTCTGTGATCTGAAAATGCTGCTGGGGTACTCCGCGGCTGAGCTGAGCAGGCTTGTGGGCACGTCTGAGGAGATGTCGGTGGTTGATCGGCGCACACCCCAGTCCCACCAGATGAGGTCAAGGGGAGCCTTCATTGCAACGATCAAGTCAGACGCGCACGCAGCAGCGAGGCTGATTGAACAGCAGGCAGCGACGTCACGCATCATTGAGCAGCGGACGCAGGTTGTGCAGACGGTAGATTGACTATATGAACCCGTATAAATTTCCGTAAAATGCTTTGGCTGTTTAACATAGTGGGTGATAGGGGTGTGTAGTTGTAATTCCAGAGTTTTAATGTAATAATAGTAAGGTACATTAAGTCATTTCCATTCATGCACGGTAAATAATTGTTTATAGAAAGCCTGTTTTCTGATTTTTAAATGTCAGATGTCTAAGGTAACTGATTTATTTACCTATTAAGCAATAAGTGGTCCTTGCAAGTTATGTTTATTTATTTTTTGAATTTTTTTTTTATTTTCAGATGTATTAATTACATTCTTGTTGTAACAAGGTATAGCTGGATTAGGGTCCCCCCACCCCCTCCTGCCCCATGTAAAGACGTCCCTGTATGTGGATAAATCAATTTTGATTTATTTTTAACCTGAAATGTGTACCTGTACCTAGTCCAGAATAGAAGGAGGAAAAGAAAACATGGCCTTGATATAGAGTAGGGTCCTGGCTGATGAGCTCGTAAGCTCAGGTCAAGCTGGGGAAATGATTAAAATTCTGTACGCAGTGACCCCAGTCAGTGTCGACTGACTTGCCATAGAACCAGTGTTCTCTTGTTTCACAGAGGTTCACTAGTTAACTTTGATGTACATATGTAAATTGTTTTAAAGATGTTGTATTTGCCTGGAGAGAGAGAGAGTGTTGTGAGTGAGCTGTTATATGCTGCGTACACTGTGCCTATAGTTTGATCTTGTCATGCTCTCATTGTTGTACAATGACTTAACACTGTAGCTCTTGTACAGATATCCAAATCACTTTGTTCCTTTCTCACCATTACTGTAAATAATATGCAAGAGAACTCTGGATGTTATGTTTACTCAAAAAATTTATTTTGATGAATAAATTATTATTGCAAATAAAAATGTAAGCGGTTGTTTAATTATGCAATCTAAACAGTAAACACATTGACCATGGTTGAGAAATGAATGTATGCGTATTTTATTTTTGTTGACTCCAGATCCAGGTGGTCTGAAGCCCAGACAGATATTTAGAGTGTTGGCTTGCCTAGTAACTCAGTCAATGTAATCATTTAATCTTGCCTAGAAGTATTAGCTCTCACTATTTCAAAATGTTTTATTTTCTTTCACCTATTGATCCCATATCTGTGCACCTTTGGGCTAATGTAGCTTTGTATCTCATCCCTCACCTGTTTTCAAACACAGCTGCCCGTAATTTGATCCTATTCACCACTTTTAGCCTCCCCTCTGTTGTCGTGTGTTTACTTTTTCCCATCCCAGGTTTGCATGCTTTAACCAGAACTTTTTGCTTCTTTCTTGCTGTAGGTATTTATCTTCCTTTTTTGATGTCATATTTTAGTTCTCTGCTTTTAGATGTGGGAATTAAAATTAAAGTACATTTGAGGCTCCCCAAAACTATAGACATTGAGTTCCCACAATCTTAGACTTTGAGGCTTTCAGAAACTAAAACTTGACGCTTTCCAAAATTTTAGACCCCTGGGCCTCCCAAAATGATACTATAGATACTGAGCTTCTCAAAACTTCAAATATTTTAATACTACAATTAAACGTTTCAATATGAACATCACTAAATTCCACTTTCTGTTCCTCATTTAGTCCCAGTTTTAATTGATTCTGTACATAGGGTGTTCTACTCTAGCACACAGCTATCTGTATTGCCTATACTAGGTAATCATCATTGGATGCTGTGTTCTATTCTCTCTTCAGCTTAGCTGAATGACCTTAGCATATGCTTGCATTGTTATGTAAATATCCAACCTCCACATGTTATTGTCTGTACCTTATGCATCATTTTGTCACTATCTACATTCCTACAAGTGAAACAAAACATTTTTAATAAGTAGACATTATTTTTCTCTTGTTAAAGTTAAAATCTTTATAGTCCATTTTATTTTATGAAAACATAAGATGGAGAAAAAAAAATTTTTGTTGCATTTTAGGTACTGTTGGTTTTTACTAAATACATCACTAAAGCTTTTGATGTGATTAGTGTCAAAAATTGCCAGGATACTTGTTTGTTTAGGTGTAGTAGGTTAGGTTGATTCATATTTTGTGCTGAGATGTTATATTTTTGTTTGGTCTTAGACTGGAGGGAATTTTTTAAATGTTTGAAGCTACGTAATTACATTGTTCACTTTTGTAATTGAATATTTTCTCTGAACTTGTACGTTTCATAAATGAGATGATTTATATTTGATATAAATGTTGATATTGTTACAAGCACTGCAGGTTGCATGATGAGTGGTTGGTCAACAGAAATATAAGAATATATGGTGTGAGTGTTTAAAGGGAAATAAACAAATCTTTGTCCCTAAAACTTAAACAGCTTTTTTATTTTACTTTAAGGGGAAAAATGTACTTCAATTATTTCCCTTAATCTAAAGGCAGCATTGTAGGACCTAAGTGTTTAAAAAAATATTTTAATGGTTGATCGAGATAAAGGTTTTTTACATACACAACCTTTCTGTTAATTTCTGAAATTGCTGTTTTTCTAAGCAAACCCTTTGAAGGTTGTCACTTTTAGTTGGTAAATTACAGTGGATTTTATGACTTGGAGTTGTTGACTAAAGACAACATATTAACTATTTAAGAAACACTAAGTGTTAAGGAATCCGCAGTAAATGAATGGGCAGATTTTTACATCATCTAATCAATTATGTAATGTAAAACAGCAGTTAGCTTGTCTTATATTTTTCCATCCCAGTTGATAAAGATAGGTGGAGGGTTAGCCCAGGCATTGAACATTTTCAAGGTTAGAGTTAGAACTAGTTTTAAAACTCTTAGGGTTACGGTAAGTGTTTCAGTTTCTCATCTTAAATAAGGAAAGCTTTGCTCTGAAAATTTTTATAGTTAAGGTTAGCTTTTTAATTTCTCATGGTTAAGGTAATCTTTAAAAGTTTTCTCATACTTTTGAATTTGGTGACCTGTCTCTTATGTTTTTCCATTCGTTTCTTAACTCATTAGAATGTGGTAGGGATTGGAAGATATCATTTGTATTCAGTGTGCATCACAATTAAGGATCACATATTACCTGTGGCAAACCAACTGCAATTAGTAGGTTTTAATATTATAAAACATTTTAGGTTGTGATTTGGTGTTCTCCATAGAGTAGCATTGAGTAGTGTACATTTACAGTATGGACCTTCTAACTTGTGAACATATTCAGTTGCTTCATAAACCAACTTGAGTGAGATTCAGACGTATTGTATGGGGTGTTAGAGCATAGACATGAGATGTGAATCTGTTGTATGATGCATTACATCTAACTAAAGTTTGAATCTATTGGAGGGTTTGCTATGAAATGTATACAATATGCGTTAAAACTAATGTCTTATTATCATTGAGAACTGTCTTAATATAGTACATTGATCATTGTGTGTTGACGCATCAAATTAGGTCTCTAACACCCATGAACTCTCAGTTTACATAATTTAAAAGTTTTAGAAACTCTTCCCTAAGTTATTAAAGTTTTGTAGAAATTTCTTTTCACATAGTTGATAAAGATTTTTAGATTTCTCACTTCACAAAACTACTGATGTTAAAATCATAATTTTTATGTAATCATGGCAGTTTTTCCCTATCATTTAAAAATAGGCTTTAGAACAAGTCTGTTGTGTGCAAGTTCAAGTGCAGTTTGATAAGAGGTGAAATAGCTAACTATACAAAATTGTGCCTGGGGTTTTTTGACTGTTGCGGAGAAAACATTTTTAAAGAAAAATTTCACCCAGGCTATCAAGGATTAAAAATATTCGGCCTGACTTCAAGTATCTAAATGAATGTCACAGGATAAGAGTTTCTCTCAAGGTTAGATAGTAGCCGACACACTGATAGTGGTACAGTTGTAGAGCACATCATTTACATGTTTCATTCATCATGTGAAATGTAAATACCATGTACTTGAGTCTACCCAGCTCTGAATGGTTCCTGGCATAACTTGGGAGAAATAATAGTATAGACCATAAAATCTTATTTTATGATAACATCAGTAAATATAGCTCATATTGATCTCCCCACCTTGTAAAAGATTTTTTTTATTAGTAAAGGTACACTACACATGAAAAATTTGACTGTGTTATTCTTATTGTTTATTTCACCTGGAAAATAGGGTAATGCCATTGTGTTCTACCACACATTATAAGAACAGCACATGTGTCATGACTACAGTTAAAAAACAGACCATCTAAAATCTGAATTTAGTTATATGGAAACTAATCATTTTTGAAGATTAATTTTAAAACAACAAACTCCAGACTTATGTTTCAATGATTCCCAAGTTTTATTTTGTACTGTTTCAAAAGTTGTTTGCGTCAATGGCATGTCTCATACAGAAACTTAAGGAATGAAATATATTAATTCTAAATACAATAATCAATTTTGTTACTGTATTTTTTTTACATAACTGTAGTTTGTAGTCTTGTGTAAAGTGGTTAAAATACTGTACTACAGTTAAACATAATGAATGTAATGAGCACAGTCATCCAATCAAAATTCATTGGGTCGGTTCATTCAGCTGTTGACCAATCAGGATCAAACACGAGAGGGTACAGCTGACCTTCCATTTTCTCTCCCTGAAAGTAAATGTAATTTTTTCATCTTCTTCAACTGTTTTTTTTTTGACTGTTGATGGCTTGGTAGACTAGGTCATATCAAGGTTTTAAATAGAAATCATAACTCAGTTAAACATCACTTGATACTATGGATATTGTATAACTTAGGTGTTATAGGTGAATTTAGGTGTATGTACTATGACCCTTCTTAGCTATAGGTGTATGACCCTTCAATACTTTAGGTGTATGTACTATGGACCTAGCTTAACTTAAGGTGTATAATCCGTCATTGCTTTAGGTGTATGTACTATGAATCCTTCAATACTTTTAGGTGTATGCACTATGACCCTAGCTATAGGTGTATAAACCTTCAATACTTTAGGTGTATGCACTATGACCCTAGCTATAGGTGTATAAACCTTCAATACTTTAGGTGTATGCACTATGACCCTAGCTATAGGTGTATAAACCTTCAATACTTTAGGTGTATGCACTATGACCCTAGCTACAGGTGTATAAAGCTTCAATACTTTAGGTGTATAAACTCTCATTGCTTTTGGTGTATGATGCTTCATTGCTATAGGTATATGACCCTTCATTGCTATAGGTATATGACCCTTCATTGCTATAGGTATATGACCCTTCATTGCTATAGGTATATGACCCTTCATTGCTATAGGTATATGACCCTTCATTGCTATAGGTATATGACCCTTCATTGCTATAGGTATATGACCCTTCATTGCTATAGGTATATGACCCTTCATTGCTATAGGTATATGACCCTTCATTGCTATAGGTATATGACCCTTCATTGCTATAGGTATATGACCCTTCATTGCTATAGGTATATGACCCTTCATTGCTATAGGTATATGACCCTTCAGGCAATTTAAAATTCTACCTTTGGACTCAGACCCTATCAATTATGTGACAGGTGAATGTGTTGCTTACTTTGGGTATATGAAACCTGCAGACAAGGTAAACTTGTTTGTACTTTCAAGATACGGCAGAGTAAGCCATACTAAAAGGTGAATGTTTACCTTTAATGTATGGTACTTTAACTATTTGACAAGGTAAATATCTATCTTTGGGGTCTTTAAGCTACTGGGTGACTTGCTCACCTTTGGAGTCTTATCACCTTAGATTACTGACAAGGTGCTGTCTAACACAGTGACAGTTCTCCTTAGGGGTATGACCCCATTAACTACTGACAAGGTGTTTACCATTGGGGTCTGATCTCCTAGACTGCTGACAAGATGAGTCAATCTTTGGTATTTGACCCCCTTAGACTACTGAGGGGGTGTGTTGACCTTTGGGGTCTAACCCCCTTTAGCTATACACAATGTGAGTTCACCTTTGGGGTCTGACCCCCTTAGACTACTGACAAGGTGAGTGTTTACCTTTGCTGTCTGAGCTGTATGACCGAGTGTTTACCTTTGGTATGTAGCTGTATGACCGAGTGTTTACCTTTGCTGTCTGAGCTGTATGACCGAGTGTTTACCTTTGCTGTCTGAGCTGTATGACCGAGTGTTTACCTTTGGTATGTAGCTGTATGACCGAGTGTTTACCTTTGCTGTCTAAGCTGTATGACCGAGTGTTTACCTTTGCTGTCTGAGCTGTATGACCGAGTGTTTACCTTTGGTATGTAGCTGTATGGCCGAGTGTTTACCTTTGGTATGTAGCTGTATGACCGAGTGTTTACCTTTGGTATATAGCTGTATGGCCGAGTGTTTACCTTTGGTATGTAGCTATACACAATGTGAGTTCACCTTTGGGGTCTGACCCCCTTAGACTACTGACAAGGTGAGTGTTTACCTTTGCTGTCTGAGCTGTATGACCGAGTGTTTACCTTTGGTATGTAGCTGTATGACTGAGTGTTTACCTTTGGGGTATGAGCTGTATGACCGAGTGTTTACCTTTGGTATGTAGCTGTAAGACCGAGTGTTTACCTTTGGTATGTAGCTGTATGACCGAGTGTTTACCTTTGGTATGTAGTTGTATGACTGAGTGTTTACCTTTATTATGTAGCTGTATAACTGAGTGTTTACCTTTGGGGTATGAGCTGTGTGACAGAGTGTTTACCTTTGGTATGTAGCCGTATGCCTGAATGTTTACCTTTGGTATGTAGTTGTATGACTGAGTGTTTACCTTTTGGGTGTGAGACCGAGTGTTTACTTTTGGTTGGTGTGTAGCTGTATGACTGAGTGTTTACCTTTGGTATGTAGCTGTATGACCGAGTGTTTACCTTTGGTATATAGCTGTATGACTGAGTGTTTACCTTTGGTATGTAGCTGTATGACCGAGTGTTTACCTTTGGTATGTAGCTGTATGACCGAGTGTTTACCTTTGGTATGTAGCTGTATGGCCGAGTGTTTACCTTTGGTATGTAGCTGCCCTTAACCAGCTCCCTGTCGGTGTTGCTCAAGGTACCATCAGCAAAATAATTTAACACGGCTGTTCTCCTAGGCGTATCAGATCTGTTGGGTAGATAACAAACTTTAATTTTGAAAAAAACTTTAGCGCTGTCATTGTTTTAAAATCAACTCTATGACAGTATTCCATTCTCACGGTACACCAACAAAAATTATTAACACAGACAACCCTCTGCTACTTAACCCTTAAACCCCTCAGTCCCTGAATACTGTGACACACATGCCACAAAATCCACGAAACGCACTTTAAACCTAAACCAACCACTGTACCCATATTCCACTAGAAACTCACAGCTACCCACACACAACCCACTTATCCCTCTACAAACCCACACATCCCAATAGAAACCCACATACAATTCACACATTCACTAGAAATACAGACTCACACAACCCACACACCCCTCTAGAAATTCACAGCTATTAAACCCACACCCCTCTAGAAAACCACTGAACCCACACACATACATACCAATAGAATCTCACCCACACATTGAACCCATACATCCCACAAGAAACCCACTGAACCCACACATCCCACAAGAAACCCACTGAACCCACACATCCCACAAGAAACCCACTGAACCCACACATCCCACAAGAAACCCACTGAACCCACACATATCACAAGAAACCCATATAACCCTCTAGAATCTCACCCTCACATTGAACCCACACACGCACTAAATCCACATACCACTAGAAACCCACTAAACCCACACATCCCACAAGAAACCCACTGAACCCACACATCCCTCTAGAACCTCACCCAGTCACTGAACCCACACACCCGCTAAACCCACGAATCCTACAAGAACCCCACTCACACTGAACCCACATCCCCACACACTCATTAAACCCACACATCCCTCTAAAAAAAACCACACTACCTGTTCTCATAAGACCCATGTACCGAGAGAGCATGATGAAAGCTGGCCTCTCCCTTCTTCAGATTGGCGGGAACGGGGACAAACTGGCTCAGTTCTTCTGATGTCAGGATCGTCTGGAAATGTGTGACGTCATTACAGTCTTTTGTTTTCCCACACAGTCCCTCACTCACACGCATACACTTTCAGTGTTTCTTCCAGACTTTTTTCTCCGGGGGGGGGGGGGGGTAGACTTTCTTCGGGGGGGGGGGGGGCGGACACTGTTAAAAGTATATATTTTCTAGGGGGGGGGGGACTCTGTACACTTTACGGTTTGTGGATGGTGATAGTAGAACCACACACACACGTACACACTCAGAACACAGGATTATCATGAACGAATATTGCACGCACAAACACGTACACACGCACGTCGTATGTGCTTACTTACTATAAGGTTTTCTGACATAAATTAGATGCTTACAATCTCTTTCTGTACCGCACAGACATACATTCTCACACACGTTTCTTCTAAACACACGTACAAACAAATCAATTACACAATCTTACCATTATAGTTTTACCCTCGTTAACAGAATGTATCGTTAACACCACTATTAAACATCAAAGGGGGCGTCATCCAAGATGACCTCACGTTTTTTTAAAGACCCCCACAAACACACCACCCCTCTTCCGTCACACATCGTCACAAAAAGACAATTATCCCCCTAACATTTCATCACATATCCTATGACCCCCCCCCCACCCCAGTATAAGATTATAAAACGCAAAATAACGGTTACAATTTAATTTCTAACATTATTTTTTCTAATGCAAAAGTGTGCGGTCACTGTATGATTGTATCTGACCCCCCCCCCCCCAATCACAAAAATTACAAGCCCCCCCCCCCCCTCCTGCCTAGGAGAGTGACGTCATCTATCTACGACCTCCTATTATTCGACGATACGACTTCCAGTGACCAATCACTACCTGTTGTAACCTGGTTTTATTTGGGCTATCTAATCTTTCCACCACTTCAAGGAACAAGACATTAGCCTTTCGGAACTGAGAGTCAATAGAGAAGATGATGCGGACAGTGTTTCTTCCAGACTTTTTTCTCCGGGGGGGGGGGGGGGGTGGAACTTGAAATTTTCGGGGGGGGGGGTAGACTTTCTTCGGGGGGGGGGGGGCGGACACTGTTAAAAATATATTTTTTCTTTATAAATTATATAAACTTCATTTCGTTCGGGGGGGGGGAGGGAATTTCGGAGGGTCAGTTTTATGCTCAGCCGGTTTTACATTCAGAGGCTATAGTTTCTTCTAGGCATCTCTTCGGGGAGGGGGAGGGGGGCGGAAAAAATTTACCGTTCCCCCGAACGAATTGGAATTTATATAGAAAATATAATCTACCGTCCGACCATGCCGTACCATAAAAGAACAAACAAGTACAAGACTTACCCTGATTCCTTCCATGTCTTTAAAGTTAAAGTCCAAGACAGGGAGCGGCCCACCGTTTCTGGTCCACCTTTTGTAGGAAAACATTGCTGGGGTTTAATTAGTAAAGCAGAACAGTACTCAACTAGTTATTCAATGGGGTTTTAATCTAGCAGAACAGTACTCAACTAGTTCTTTAACAGGGTTTTAATGTAGCAGAATAGAATTTTAATGTAGCAGAACAGTACTCAACTAGTTATTCAATGGGGTTTTAATCTAGCAGAACAGTACTCAACTAGTTCTTTAACAGGGTTTTAATGTAGCAGAATAGAATTTTAATGTAGCAGAACAGTACTCAACTAGTTCTTAACACTGTAGAGTTTTAATGTAGCAGAACAGTACTCAACTAGTTCTTAACACTGTAGAGTTTTAATGTAGCAGAACAGTACTCAACTAGTTCTTAACACTGTAGAGTTTTAATGTAGTAGAATAGTACTCAACTAGTTCTTAACACTGTAGAGTTTTAATGTAGTAGAACAGTACTCAACTAGTTCTTAACACTGTAGAGTTTTAATGTAGTAGAATAGTACTCAACTAGTTCTTAACACTGTAGAGTTTTAATTTAGCAGAACAGTACTCAACTAGTTCTTAACACTGTAGAGTTTTAATGTAGCAGAACAGTACTCAACTAGTTCTTAGGACTGTAGAGTTTTAATGTAGTAGAATAGTACTCAACTAGTTCTTAACACTGTAGAGTTTTAATGTAGTAGAATAGTACTCAACTAGTTCTTAACACTGTAGAGTTTTAATGTAGTAGAATAGTACTCAACTAGTTCTTAACACTGTAGAGTTTTAATGTAGTAGAATAGTACTCAACTAGTTCTTAACACTGTAGAGTTTTAATGTAGTAGAATAGTACTCAACTAGTTCTTAACACTGTAGAGTTTTAATGTAGTAGAATAGTACTCAACTAGTTCTTAACACTGTAGAGTTTTAATGTAGTAGAATAGTACTCAACTAGTTCTTAACACTGTAGAGTTTTAATGTAGTAGAACAGTACTCAACTAGTTCTTAACACTGTAGAGTTTTAATGTAGTAGAATAGTACTCAACTAGTTCTTAACACTGTAGAGTTTTAATTTAGCAGAACAGTACTCAACTAGTTCTTAACACTGTAGAGTTTTAATGTAGCAGAACAGTACTCAACTAGTTCTTAGGACTGTAGAGTTTTAATGTAGTAGAATAGTACTCAACTAGTTCTTAACACTGTAGAGTTTTAATGTAGTAGAATAGTACTCAACTAGTTCTTAACACTGTAGAGTTTTAATGTAGTAGAATAGTACTCAACTAGTTCTTAACACTGTAGAGTTTTAATGTAGTAGAATAGTACTCAACTAGTTCTTAACACTGTAGAGTTTTAATGTAGTAGAATAGTACTCAACTAGTTCTTAACACTGTAGAGTTTTAATGTAGTAGAATAGTACTCAACTAGTTCTTAACACTGTAGAGTTTTAATGTAGTAGAATAGTACTCAACTAGTTTTTAAATATGGTTTAAATGTAGCAGAACAATACTTAACTATTTAAGTAGGGCCTTAATGTAGTAGAACAGTACTCAAGTGTTTCTTAGGTAGGGTTTAATATAGCGCAATAGTACTAAGCTATTTCTTAAGTAGGGCTTCAATGTAGCACAATAGTCCTCAACTGTTTAAGTAGGGTTTTAATGTAGCACAATATAACTCAACTATTTAAGTTGATGTAGTAGAAAAGTACTCACATATTTCTTAACATTGTAGTGTTTTAATGTTAATAACATTTTATTTTCTCAACATTATATTCAGTGGTGCAGTGGTTGCAATGATGGGGGTAATTGTCGATTGTGTGTGTGTGTGTGTGCATGGGGGCGTATTGATGTCAAGGACTTCTTATGTGCTTCAGTGCTAAATTAAATCCCTCACTGCTGGCGTATTGCGGATTTGTAATTAGTTAGAGCAAGCAATCTCAACTGTCTTTTAATCTCACCTATCTGTTAGTCTCACCTGTTAGTCTCATCTATCTGTTCGTCTCACCTATCTGTTCGTCTCACCTATCTGTTCGTCTCACCTATCTGTTCGTCTCACCTGTTAGTCTCATCTATCTGTTCGTCTCACCTATCTGTTCGTCTCACCTGTTAGTCTCATCTATCTGTTCGTCTCACCTATCTGTTCGTCTCACCTATCTGTTCGTCTCACCTATCTGTTCGTCTCACCTATCTGTTCGTCTCACCTATCTGTTAGTCTCACCTATCTGTTAGTCTCACCTATCTGTTCTTCTCACCTATCTGTTCGTCTCACCTGTTAGTCTCATCTATCTGTTCGTCTCACCTATCTGTTCGTCTCACCTGTTAGTCTCATCTATCTGTTCGTCTCACCTATCTGTTCGTCTCACCTATCTGTTCGTCTCACCTATCTGTTCGTCTCACCTATCTGTTCGTCTCACCTATCTGTTCGTCTCACCTGTTAGTCTCATCTATCTGTTCGTCTCACCTATCTGTTCGTCTCACCTATCTGTTCGTCTCACCTATCTGTTCGTCTCACCTGTTAGTCTCATCTATCTGTTCGTCTCACCTATCTGTTCGTCTCACCTATCTGTTCGTCTCACCTATCTGTTTGTCTCACCTATCTGTTCGTCTCACCTATCTGTTCGTCTCACCTATCTGTTCGTCTCACCTGTTAGTCTCATCTATCTGTTCGTCTCACCTATCTGTTCGTCTCACCTATCTGTTCGTCTCACCTATCTGTTCGTCTCACCTGTTAGTCTAATCTATCTGTTCGTCTCACCTATCCGTTCGTCTCACCTATCTGTTAATCTCACCTATCTGTTCGTCTCACCTATCTGTTAGTCTCACCTATCTGTTAGTCTCACCTATCTGTTCGTCCCACCTATCTGTTAGTCTCACCTATCTGTTCGACTCACCTATCTGCTAGTCTCACCTGTCTGCTAGTCCCACCTATCTGCTAGTCTCACCTATCTATCAGTATCACTTATCTGCTAGTCTCATCTATCTGCTAGTCTCACCTGTCTGTTCGTCTCACCTATTTGTTCGTCTCACCTATCTGCTAGTCTCACCTATCTATCAGTCTCACTTATCTGCTAGTCTCATCTATCTGCTAGTCTCACCTATCTGCTAGTCTCACCTGTCTGCTAGTCCCACCTATCTGCTAGTCTCACCTGTCTGCTAGTCCCACCTATCTGCTAGTCTCACCTATCTATCAGTCTCACTTATCTGCTAGTCTCACCTTTCTGTTAGTCTCACCTGCCTGCTAACTTTACCAGTAAAGTACCACGAGTGTAGGACAGAGATGCACTTACCTGTGTGAACCAGGAATATACTGTATGGTTCCATTGTCCTCTGTCTGGTCTTCTAAGGCAATATGCACCTGTAGGAGTTTAGCATTGTATATGCACCTATATTTAGAGAGGTGTATGCACACATCAGGATAGAGGTAAAAGCACCTATATTGAGAGAGGTACATGGAGAGATGTATATGTACCTGTATGAAAATGACGCATATGCATACACCAACTTACAGCAGAGGCGTAGCGAGGAGGGGGGAGGGCGGGGGCGGGGACATAAGTCCCCGGGCGCTAACCTTAGGGGGCGCCAAAATGTGTTGTAAAAACAAATTAAAATATCATTTTAGCTGCAGTTTTGCATTATAAATCTAAAAAATATATTGGGGGGGGGGTGCAAATTGAAAGTTTGAAGGGGGTTGTGCAAATTGAAAAGTTGTTCCCGAGAGGGGCGCCAAATTGAAAGTTTGTCCCCGGGCGCCGGGAAGAGTCGCTACGCCTCTGCCTTACAGTGATGCCATAAAGCTTTTGTGTAACAGTCATACACGAACTTACAGTTAGATGCTGTATGGGTGTAGTCCTGGTCCAGTAGGAATAGTCTTGATGCCTTTCAGATGAAAGAAAACACATGTACATAATACGTTATATACTGGTTTTACGTTATACATACACCGATTTTGCGCTATAAATACACAGATTTTATGTTATACATAAACCGATTTTGTTACATAAACATTGTGGTTGAATAAAAGAGTAGGTTACAAGTACGAGTAAGTTTACATATTACACATTCGGGTCAGTGTTTCTTTCAGACTTTTTTCAGGGGAGGGGGGGGGGCACTTGAAAATTACAGGTGGGTGGGGGGAGCCTGAGAAAATTTTCCTGGAAGGGGGGACGGGCGTATACATTTTGTATACGCATTATATTTCGTTCGAGGGGGTGCTAGACCTGCTTAAGGCAGGGGTGGGGGGTCAGTTTCCGTACGAAAAGATGTCTTAAGGTTATTTCAGTTTATATGAGCGGTAAATTAAGATGTATTAAATTAATTAAGGGGTTTACCATTGCGGGTAAGTTTACAATAGCTGGTAGGTTTACAATAAGGGTAGGTTTACAATAGTGGTTAGGTTTACCATAGCGGGTAGGTTTACAATAAGAGGTAGGTGTCCATCACAGGTTTAAATGAACCTACCAGGCCACGACGCCGCCATGCCTGGCAGGTTTAGCAAACAGCTGATCGTGCCAGAAGCGGACCTTGACCTCTGATCCGGGTACCAACAGCTGGGAGGCCTTGACCTTGGTCATCCGGCAATCAACAGAGAACATGTCCAGGTGTGGGTACGAAACGTTATTAGCTACGTCATGCATGTAACGTCATACGTGTCACTTCAGGCACGTCATGTCAAATACAGAGGCGTAACGAAGAGGTGCGCCAAATTGAAAGTTTGTTCCCGGGCGCCGGGAGGGGTCGCTACGCCTCTGGTCAAATATGTATGTATATTCATACACACACACACACACACATATATATATATATATATATATATATATATATATATATATATATATATATATATATATATATACATATTTGTATATATATTTGTATTTGTATATATATATATATTTGTATAAATATATATATATATATATATATATATATATATATATATATATATATATATATATATATATATATATATATATATATATATATATATATATATATATATATTATATATATATATACATACATACATACATATATATATATATATATATATATATATATATATATATATATATATATATATATATATATATATATATATATATATATATATGTATTTGTGTGTCTGTGTCACCTCTTTCCATCACCCAACCACACTACAAACATCTCCCACCCCCACCCCTTGCCCTAATTTCAGACACGGTCATTGAACTCACCACGATGGAGGGCAGGTAGATGAGGTCATGAAACAGTGACGTCAATCTCCAGTGGCCCAGCGCGTGCATGAGCACATTGTTGACGTCACCCGTCTGGTTCCTGTGGTACTCATACATGAGGTCCATGTTGGGGTGGGGCTGGGTCTCGTCCTGTTACATGGGGGGGGGGGGGGGTGTGGGGGGGGGTAGGTATGGATGTATTGGTGAGAGGTATAAATGTATAAATATGGCATGTACTTGAAGCAGCCGTAACGATGGCTGTCCTTCTACCAGCTATAAGTATGGCTGTATTAGTGGAACCAAAACTATAGCTGTCCTTGAAGCAGCCATAAGAATGGCTGTCCTTCTACCAGCTATATGTATGGCTGTATTAGTGGCAGCAAAAGTATAGCTATCTTTGCAGCAGCTATAAGTATGGCTTCCTTTTACCAGCTAAACGTATGGCTGTTTTAAAAGTATAGCGCTCTCCTTGTAGCAGCTATAAGTATGTCTGCATTAGTGGCAGCAAAAGTATAATTGTCATTAAAGCAGCCATAAGTATGGCTGTCCTTCTACCAGCTATAAGTATGGCTATATTAGTGGCAGCACAAGTATAGCAGTCCTTGTGGCAGCTATAAGTATGGCTGTATTAGCGGTAACTATATGGCCGTATTAGCGGCAGCAAAATTTGTGCCAGAAAAAAATGCAACTTTACTATCTCAGAGACGTCCTACAGACCAAATTCGAGAAACGAACTCGAGACTTTCAGTTTAGCACTCGAGCGCTCTACCTCCCAGCCATGCTGTCCTTTATATCAACACACACCTACAGTATTTACGTCCCCAACTAAAGGTATACAACCAACACACCAGAAAGTATTTGTAATCCTCCAGAATTCTATCACACTGCTCGTCTGATAACACGCGCACATGATTCAGGTATCCGTCCCTCTCAAATGTTGTTAGCTCCTGCTCTGTAAGTCTGTAGTTCTGCCACTCTGATTTACTCTATGCACCTCAAACAAGAAATGTAGTGTGACAGTTTTGCAATTTAAAATGTGCATGACAGATATAGGGTAAGTAGAAGCTATAATGTCAAAAGCTGTCTCTAGCTTTACGGCCAAGTGTTACACCGTTACACCCCCACAAACACGCACACCCACCCACACATCCCCCCCCACTCCCCCCCCCACACACACATTGCTTAATTAATTAAGTCGCATAAAACATTAATTAATTAAACTGAGAACATCATGTTTTAATATAACCCATCTAATTGCCCAACTATATACTATCAATATTAGTCATACAAAAAACAAAATGTTGCTCATGCGCATGCGTGTGGCACCAACCTGAATGGGAGGGTAGAGAGCACCGCTAGGACCTTGTACCGTACTCCAGTCAATAAACTCGTCCGTATTTGCCATGCTTGTATCTGTCTAATTTTGAAAAAAAAATAATTGTAATGACAATAAGCTTTTATAGGCACTAAATCTTTAAACAATAATAAAAACAAACGTGATTCCTTTCATAAAAGAATTGTTTGCTAAAATATGTAAGAGATTTTATGAGTTGAAGCATGGGTCTGTTCCACTAATTGCAGTAACTGATTAAAGAGCTACCCTTCCACTAAACTCTCTTGTAGTTGTGGCTTTACCATTGTAAGGTTCACAGTTTCTGTGTTGTGGGATAAAGAAGGGGCTCTTGGTGCACTATTCTTGCATAAATAGTGCATGTTTGGTTCATATAAGGTCCACCACTATCATCTTTTCCCAAGACACACGGGGCAGATGAAGTAGAGTTCATCTGTCTATATGACCTCGGCAATAACGTGAGTCAGGTACTTATCGGAGCTGGGTGAACTCAGGGACGTCCTACTCATTCGAGCCTGGGATCCGAACTCAAGACTTTCAGGTATGCAGTTGTAAGCTCCACCATCCGACAACGCATGAGGTCCATCATTTGCCCATATTTGTTGTATAATTGTTTTATTCACTGTCCCATGTTGTATTAATGTTGTAATTAATGTTGCAATTACTGTAATGTTGAATCAATGTTGTGTTTAGTTATGCTGTATTCTTGGGTCATATCTGTGTATTTAAAAAAAATGTATTAACTCTACGTTTCACAAATAGAGATGAAGTAGAGTTTCTCTGTTTATATAGGCAAGGTTGTATTATTATGTGTTATGTACATTGCCCGGACGCATCTACTTTCCAGAATGTCGAGTACCCACCAAATTGGGGATGACTTACAGCATACTCGAACACGAACTCTAAACTTTCGGGTTATCACTCATGCGCCCTACCACTCAACCACGCCATACTGTAAGCTAAAGTTGGAAGGTATCTACAATCAAAGAACAACTTACGCTACGACTATCAAAAACAATGTCAGCAACTCGGTGTGTAAAGTAGACGTGCTGTAGTGTTTTAATCTCTGCACGGGCCGACTAAGTCGTGCCAAGAATTGCACTGGGACTGGTTTGAAAAGGCTGGACGGCCATGAACTGTACGGGTACTACGGGACTGGTTAAATCGCTGGACGGCCAAGAGCTTTACCGTAACAGGTTAAACCGATGGACGGCCATGAACTGTACGGGAACTACGGTACTGGTTAAACCGATGGACGGCCAAGAACTGTATTGGTACTACTGTACTGGTTAAATCGCTGGACGGCCAAGAACTGTACCGGTACTGATTAAACCGATGGACGGCCAAGAACTGTACCGGTACTACGGTACTGGTTAGCGTAGGGGAAAACTATGTTTGCACTTAATTTTCTTCTATTTCTTATTGTTGACAATTGTTAATTATATTACATTTTTTCCGTAAGTCCTCACAGTTTCAAGGGAGGTAACAAGAAAAACTATTTCACGTTCCTTCTAATTTTTAAATAATTGTTACGTCCCTTACAACAGACTCCATACACGCACAAAAGACCACGAAAAAAGATCGCAGGAGGCTCGTGTCATCCTCAAAATTTGTAAATTAAATTTGATGAAAACCAACTACAGTAGTAAATTGATTACCTAATAAGTATGTTTAGTTAACGTCTTAGTCGGAAATAAAGTAGGTTAATTTAACTACTTAACTGTACCTAAAGCAGTTGACGTCATATTCATGCCCTTAAGGGGTTATGTTGACGTCTCAGTTTAGCCTAAAGTAGACTGTATGAACGTCTCAATCGAGACTGAAGTTAGTTATATGGACGTTTCAGTCGTCCGTAAAGTAATTTTCAGTTACATTGACGTCTTAGTGGTGCCTGATGTGTAGACGTCTCAGTCATGTCAAAAATAGAAGTGTTATATATTGTTCAATGTACTTGTTATATAATGTTATATGGTTTAGTACTCAAGTAGTAGGCTATGTGTGAACAAAGATTTTCTTTTTTTTTAATTACAGAGTTAAATACTAGACCATAGCCAAGACTTAGAAAAAGAATTCTCGTAGAACTACTCAACTAGGCGGTAAACGAACAAAATGTACTCCTAATTACATTTAACCCTAACAAAAAAGAAAATTAACCAATACTAACCTAAAGCAATAAAATAGCACTAACAATATTATGACACGAAACATAGATTAGCCTAAACATAACGCTAACCCACACCCAAGCCCAAGATAAACCATCTATCTGAAACTAAAACTATTTGTTATGTAACGTGTGAAGTAAGTAGTAAAGTTTCTCTTTAGAACTAGCGATCCATTTGGCAGACAAGGTACAGTTTTTCATTTTTATTTTCCTTGGCATACGAAGAGATGACGGGGACTATGCCGAGCCGACTTAACTTTCCCCAACCTAAGTCAGATGACCATCAGAGCCCGGGTGCAGATCCGAACTCGAGACCTCCAGTCTAGCAACCAAACGATCTACAATTCGACCTCGCCGTCTCATGTGTAGTGGGTATTAATGTCATATTTTTAATATCTATGTGGCAACATATATGTGCACGATTCCTATGAGCAACTTTTGATATTTTTAAAATTCTACATTTTGCAGTGTGGTGATGTGATGGCATGATGACGGATCTTTCTGTTGTTGTCGATCAACCATACCTTCCCATTCATGTAGGTTTCTTCTGCTCCTGTACATATAATAGTATTATGATATGCTGCTGACGTTGTCGTTTTAAGTATTTAGGGACAGAGTTTCTTCAAGGCATCTCTTCGGGGAGGGGGGGGGGGGCGAAATGGAATGTATATAGAAAAAATATATTTTTAACAGTGTCCGTCGTCGTCGTCCCCCCTCCGAAAATTTCAAGCCCCCCCCCCCCCCCCCCCCCACTCCGGAGAAAAAGTCTGGAAGAAACACTGTTTAGGGATATTTAATCCGTTAGTTGAGTTAGTATTAAAATGCGTCGTGGTAGCCCTTTCCTCTCTAACTATAATTATCTTAAGAGCAGACTTAATAGTAAAAATATCTAGTTCTAGATCTAGTCTATATTCATTTTTATTAGTTTTAATCTTACATGTAGCGAGTTTAAGAATTTCTCTTTTCTAATAATAAGCTCTGGCGAAGGTTCAACGGGGAAGTACCTTGCTAGATCTGGTAACATTACAAGGACAGACCGTAGGCTAACTCCCTCGCATTGTCACAGGTGGTTAGCGGGATTTCCCTGTAACTTTCACACAGTTGGTTGACGTCACCCCCCTCCCCTCCCTCCGAACACCTCCACGTTCAAGGATTACCTTTCCGTTGCGGGCTCGCTTGACGGACGACCACAACGCAGTGCGCCCCCCTTTGATCAGTGGCATATGGAACGCCCAATCAACAAAAAGTTTAGCTTGAATCAACACATGCGCTCGACGACCAACTAGACTATATTTAGAACTTCGCGTTCTTTATTTGGTTCAGTTGATCGAGATACGTAATCTTTTCTCGTGAATGTCGCAGGACTCGTTTTGAGTTTAGTAGAGTTTTGTGTAACACTGTACTGTGTACTCTGTTAGTGTTAGTTAATCTTGTAGCAGAGGACGCGGTGTTAATAATATATTCTTGAATGAGTGTTAAAATTTTCAGTTTGTAACTCACATGTGTGTTTAAACTAGAATTATTTTGTATAAATTCATTTTGTGGATTAGTAAATTCCAGGATTTTAAGCCGGACCGTAGGCTATTCCCTGATTGATGAGTAAGCAACGGCAAGCCGTACTCAACGCGACTCGCCATCGTCATTGTTGACGGAAGCGACCGACAAGCGACTTACAAATACCTCATGCGCATGCGCAGGGATTAGTGGACGGAGCATCTGCTGAAAGCAAAAAGAAAATTTATCCATTCCAGTCTAATTCAGAGAACAAATCGCATAGCAACTGAATCTTTTTGATAATGATGCTATTTATTTTATAAAGGATCATCTATTTCACATTCAGTATGTCGGTATTCTTCATATTATTTGCTGCTTTCGTGCAGTGTTATGGTGAGTACTTTGTTTTCTAAAGTAATCGATATTTTCTTTTTAAACAATCGAGTCCCGCGAAACGCTTTTTATTTTGACGTGTGTGCCTCTCGTCTGCTAGAACTGGTGTGTATGTGGCGGTGACTGTGTGCGAAAAGGTCCCGAGATATCATTCATTATTAGTATCGACCGTATATTTTTTTCTCAGGCTAATTAATCGATTTCATGAGTCACCAGGCTAGTGAAATGGTACTTGAATAATAAATGAGTAGAAGACTAGCTAGTAGATCTAAATCTATTCTAGACCTAGATATCTAGATAATAATATATTAATAATAGATATCTAGATCTCGATCTAGATCTAGATCTTCGTGAGAATAAACTTAAAAGTAACCAATTATTAATTGGGTAGATCTTTAAAACAAATTAAATCTTCCTTTCTATAGATCTAGATAGAAGTAGATATAGATCTATATCTATAAATTACAATTTACAATGTCAATATATAGTATAGATACTGATAGATCTATATAAATAAATAAATAAATAATATATATAGGGCAGGGCCTATAATATATATATATATATATATATATATATATATATATATATATATATATATATATAGGCCCTATATAATAACATATTTTAAATATATATATATATATATATATATATATATATATATATATATTCTTTATATAGGCCCTATATAATAAAATATTTTAAATATATATATATATATATATATATATATATATATATATATATATATATATATATATATTCTTTATATAGGCCCTATATAATAAAATATTTTAAATATATATATATATATATATATATATATATATATATATATATATATATATATATATATATATATATATATATATATATATATATATATATATATATATATATATATATATATATATATATATGGATCTACTAAAAAATAAGTATGTAAATTGTAAATATGTAAAATGTAAGCTAATTTAAGTTAATCTCGAATTAAATAATTTTATAATTTAAAATTGTTTCTTTTAAAAAACATTTTTAAGATCTAGATAGAAATTAGGCTAAAATTCTTTTTTTTTAAATTAGAAAACATAGATCTCTAAATCTAATTACTAATTAAATAAATCTACTTTGTTAGTTAAAAGAATGCAACACTGTTAAATGCCAACACTGGCATCTTTGTCAAAAAGATATTTTTATTTTTAAGGTCATTTATATGCCAAGTGACCTGAAATATAATATTTTAATCCCTTATATTATTTGTTGTGCTGTAAAAATTCGATACATCTATCACCAAAACAATTTAAGATTTAACATTTAACAGTTGTTTTGTGTTATCTTGCTTTGATAATTTTAACACATTTCAGACATACTACAAAACCATGTTCATTCTTTTAAAATTAGTTATGCATTTAAAAAAATCTTAACTTCTCGGTCAAAGGAACAATTATCTTATTAAAACTGATGTGGGTTACTAAAATGAGAAATTGTTTCAAGCTTTATTAAGAAGTAGGCCTACTATAAACTTAAAGTAAAATACAGGTAAATAAAAAAAAACTGTCCATTGTGTGGATAGAAATATTATTTTTAGACAGTTATAGGAAATAAATCTTTACTGATTTAAGATGGAGTATATTAGGCTCTATGTAACATTTGTATTGATAGTATAGCAGATGATAAATTCAACCCTTGAAGTAATACAGGCTGAAAAATCTTAATATGAAGCTAATTACTGTTATTCCTTAATAATAGCCTTATTTTATTTAGGCCTATAAGTTTATTTTTGAAATGATAAATTACTAAAAATGTAATTTAACTATCTTAAGTACTCTCATACTTTTCCTTTTCTGGTTTTTATTCTTCATATTGTATTATATTTTGTAAATACATCAAATTAGTTAAAATATGATTGCATGTTTTAAATGAAAATTAAGTAGTTGAACTTAAAATGGTTTTTACTAACATAAGAATGATAACCCAAGACAGTTGATCCTTGTTTTATAGAACTGTGGGAAAAAAAAAACTGTTCAAGTTAGTGATGTGTTTATATAAGG